TTATTGTTCTTAAATTATTACTTTTTGTAGACAAAGTTATTCAGTAGTTAAAAAAAACAAAACACTAGCCTAAAAGTCTAGCTTTTTAAAAAAAAATTAGTAAATGGTAAAAATTAGATTTAAATTATTCCTCATATTATTCCTCATGTTACAGAACTGAAAAACTGACCAATATGTAAATATTTAAAAGGTTTAATGCATATTTAAAAATTTGGATTTTTTTTTTAGAAAGTGAAAATAATTTAATTACTATATCTTCTATTTCTATTTACTTCTATTATTTCTCTCTTTATACTTTTCTTCTTTTTGAATCTTAATGTAAATAAGTAAAAGATATATACTTTTTATTTTGTTTCTCTTTTTCTCTCTATCTCCATCTTTGGTTAGAAACTATATAATCAACACACTTGTCTTGTTGGCAAATATTAGTAATAAAGTTAAGCAAAACTGCATGATATTTTGAAAATACAACCTCACAATATTTTTACCCATATACAATTGTAAACTATTATATGACTATAAATTAAATAATTCTTTATTAGCATTTTATAATACTATAACATTTGTATGTATTAGGCTTTAATGTTACAGATTAATACACTAGTTTTATGTTAGCAAACTTTAAATATTAGTAAATAGTGGCTATTTGTTTGGATTGTGAGATTTTCCTTCTTGTCTGTTTTCAGTTGAATATAAAAGCTTTCCAAATATGTTATATGCAAATATGTAATATGTTGCTGTCAATGAATGAAACTTGTATGACTGCAAACAATTTTTGCTCATTTTCTTTGTCAGCAAAGATAGTGTACCGTATTTGTTGATCAAATTGTATTAGAAACTATAACTTCAACTAAGCACTGATAAAAATTTGATCAGCTAATCCTCTCTTGAAGGCAGACAGCTGTAATATAAAACATTTGTGACACTATTGATCCACAATTGATTTCTTTCTTATTTTACATGCATTTTTTTTTGCTGCTAGCAAAGCCTTAATATTAGCTCATTAAACAAAATTAAGATTTAAAGCAGGTGTTCAAGTTGGCTTGTAGTTATTATACCAGTAATTGCCATTATGTTTCGATACGCTAGTACCTAAAAAATTAAGAACCATATCTTATATATTTAGATTATTCCTAAAAAGAAGGTAAATTTCTGAGTTTCTAATTCTGACCAAAATGTGCTTATAAAAGTTACATGGCTTGTGGAAAAAAGGGATCTAATCTTAATTCTATGTAACTAAGCATTACAAAACATACATGTTTTATACCTCATTCATGTATTTCCAGCTGCAGTTAGTTTGAGATTTTTCATCTTAAAATCTTAGTTATATTTAAATTGCAGAAAATTAATCAAAATGGAAAAATCAGGATATTATATGCTAAAGTAATTCATGGATTATTGGATTTTATATATGGTAACAGCAATGATATTATTACATGCACAAAGATGAAAAATACAGAAATACCCACAACAGAGGATGACTGGTGAAGATGGTAGAACTTAACAGAAATTGCTAAATTAACTTGTTTGATTAGGGAAGGAATAACAATTACTGTTATAAAAGACTAGAAACTGATGATTTCTGGATTTGCTAACTGTATATGTTGCGTACGTATATAAGAAGATGGGAATTGTGTTATGTAAATGTGAAGGGAGAAATGGTATCAAATATGTCTTATAAATGCTGCAAGGAAAATCATAAATTGCTTCTTTAAATACTTTTTTCTTCACTTTTTTTGTTCTTTATCTTTTTTTACTTTTATATTTATTTTTTAACTTTGTAAACAATTCTTTAATTAAAAAATATTTTTAAAAAAGATATATGCTAAAACAATATATATGGTAGTGCTGAAAATGAATTTATGTTGGTTAACATTGATTAACATAATTCATACATCTCCTAGAATATTAGGGAAATAAAAACCAATATAATTCATTTACATGAACTTTCCAGTGGAAGGAAAAGGAAAAAAGAATAATTTCCTTTTTCTGTAACATTGTATTGCTGTCTGCATGTATTATAGAATTTTAATCACAGAATTGTATATTCTATTTCTCTTCAAAATATGTGACAGTTTATCAATAACCAAATTGTTTAATTGTACAACCATGGAGATTTTATTGTATTTCTGTTCATAATTTTAACACAATAGTCATTTTTTACTGAATGCCAATTAATACATTGACAAAAAATTTGATGGGGAAAGGAGTGGGAGTAAATTTCCATCATTAAAGGCTATCAAAAGAGGAAATAATGTTTGACTTTAGCACGTATACCATGTTCTTCCATATTTTTCAAAGCAGACAATTCAAAAAGCAGCTTGGACTTGCCTCAGAAACTAATCAGTTCTGTCTTTCTGCCTTATACAGCAATTGATTCTACCTTAAATTTAGGAATATATGCATTTCTAAATTAATTTAAGGATTTAATTTGATTGTTAGTCATATTAGATTAAGTCATATCTCATATTACTATAAAATGAATCTTCCTTTAAATCAGGAAGACTGGTTTGAGTCTGGTTCAATATATTTAAGAACAGTGCAACACAGACTTAAGCGCAAGACCTGCAATTGGCACATTCATGAATAGCTAGACACCTATTATTTATCACGGGTTGAAAAATAGGTTCCTTAGCCAGGGGCTTTCACCATTTGCTCAAGCAACCTTCTACAGTTTGAACAGAACACAGATAATATCCCATAATTTTCTTTAAAAGAGTACTCTTTTTGTACAGAAAGAACTCTGGTATATTTTTGTTTCCAGGAATGAAATGTAATATTAATATTAATTGCATTAGTAGCAAGAATAAACTTGAAAATCAATTGTACAAGAGAAGCAGGAGCTCTTTACCCATCAATATCATTACTATCACAATATCACTAATATATTAGCACTTCTCTGCTGGTATATTTTAAAAAGTTCAAATGTGGTAGATATTGCAGTGACTACTGCTAGTGTCTGTTCTGATAACTTTGGGCCAAGAACCTCAGATTCAGGAAGTACGTGTATGAGTTCTTTTTCTACTACCACAGAGAGGTAAATCCAAACAAATCTCTTTTATTTAAAATATGCTAGTTAAGGAAAAAACTGTATTAAATGTGTATCGCCCTCAGTTTTAATCATCAAGAACACTGAACATAATGGGCCCACATAAGCTGACCACATGGGCCTCTAAATCTAAATAATAAAACTCCTCCATCCTTATATTTCCTAGGAAATTATTTTACACCGTTAAGGATTAGATGCACTCAATTTTTTTCTTATACTACCAAGGTTTAATACATACAGTGGCCTACAATTTTGGAAATTATCAACCTCCGAGATAAAATATGTTAATTTTACATGTTTTGATTAGATTAATTAGAAAACAAGGTGATAAAGGTGCTAATTGGCTGAAGTTTTCAAGATATTTCACAATGAAGATTTATACACAGGCGAGTGTATAAAGGGAGGAAGGTGTCTAATTATCATGACTTTGTCATAAATTTTTGACAAAGTAGAACAATGAAAATGGTACCATATGGAAGCATATAATTTTATCTTCACTTTGAGAACAGCAAGGCAGATGACTATGAAAAACATGGAAAATTTGCTGAGGTCCTATAAATCACTTAATGCAAAAATGTCACTGAAAATTCACTTCTTACACTCTCATTTAGACTATTTCCCTTTGAACTGTGGGACAGTGAATGATGAGCATGGGGAGAGATTCCCCAGGATATTGCAAGCACGGAGAAAATATACCAAAGGAAATTGAGTCTGTCTATACTTTTCAATTATTGCTGTAATCTCCCCAAGGATGATCCACAAGAGAAAAGCCAAAAAGTGCAGTTTAGGTATCAAATAAAGATGGAGCCTTGTCATTTAATCTGATGTTAGAGCTTGTCAGTTTTTCATGCAAAAAGCATGAAAATGTTACATGAAAAACCAATAAATGAATGGAAAGTTATGTTATTGGTATCAATACAAAGATAAATTTATAATAATTGGTGTGGCACCATTCTCATTGTTATATCACATTTTGCAGAAAAGTTATGAAGTGTAATTGCACATCCTTGTAATTTTGAATTATTTTGATGCAATTTTGACTAGAAGCTGTATCTTGGAAGCTGGAGCCAATTAATATTCAGAACTTAATTTTCCTTTATTAGTGACCCAATTCTGATAAAATTAAGCTATTTTCATTTCCAAGGCTTTCTCCTTGTGTCAGACTAGTAATATCAACGAAAATTCCTGTGACAGCTTGACAAATTCCCTTGTCCCTCACAAATTAAGCAAGATGGGCAGCAGACAAATCTAATGAATAAAATAAAATTTTGGAGTGCAATCATTTTTTAAAATCAGCAAAAATCAATTCTAGCAAGTGTTACTAAACCTACAGAAAAAAGGATGTACATGAAGTCGAACAGTTTCCAGTCAGGTCTTATTTCCATAACTGAGATACAGAGAGAAACCATTACTGCAGCGTTTCAGAGCTGGATGGAAGAAGAAAAAGCAAGAATCATTTAGCAAGGGAAAAAATGAGCCCAGATATTTAGAAGTGCAGTCTTTGTAATCTTCAAGTTACCTATTTGACTGGCAATGGCATCATGAGTAGCTTAGACATCTATGTTAATTTATGTTAAGCATTATCTCCATTAGGTCTAAGATTTTTCCAAATATTTATCAATTTTTCTCAATTCTTCTAGGCCAGTTTTATTCAACCTTAGCAATTTTAAGATATTTGGATGTCAGCTGTCAGAATTATCTATTGTATAGATACATGTTGATTCTGGTAACATTGTTTTCTTCAGTAATTTTAGATTCCTAATCCCCCCTCCCCCCAGTATTTTATAATACTTTGATTTAGACTGTTCAGTGTCTATGTATTTTCTGCCTCCGTTTAAGAAACAATTAGTCAGAGAAATAAGTTATATTAATATGCATTAAATAATGGGGATTCTTTTCTAGTTTATTTTTTTGCATTTATAAACTTTATTTCTCTCTTAATTCTTTACAGGGTACATACCCAGTTATTTAGACAAGGATGAGTTATGTGTTGTTTGTGGTGACAAGGCCACTGGATATCACTATCGTTGTATCACTTGTGAAGGTTGCAAGGTAATAATAGCAGTGTAAATGAATAAGAGCTGGAAATCATAAACTAATTTGATTTCCTATAATAGAATTCACATAAGTGGAAATGCCATTTAGGGAACAGCATATGTTATATGTAACAAAACAAGAATATTTCTTTTTTTAATATCACAAAGTAATATTTGTTCTTGCAATAGAAGACTCGTTGACTGATTTTAGAATTTTAAAATACAATAACAACAAAAAATCATATGAGGGTTAAGAAAGGAAAATACAGTTTAGAATTATGATTTGCATGATTCTTTTTATTGAATGGTTGTAATCTTATTCTTGCACCTCTCTTTTTTGTAATTCCCTTCTCAGAAAGAAGGATTTCAAACATTTTCAAAAACTTGTTTTTTCTGGATTTTTTTTAGCAAGGCATTATATAGCAACATATACAATAAAGTTTTACGAAATGAAGGCAAAGATACATGTCCAAGGATAATGTTGCAGGATTCAATATGTATCAGTCACTGGGACCAGAAGTTTAATCTGCCAAGCTTTCAGACTCATGCTGGATCTCCTCCGGAACTTTTCTTTACTGGAATGCATACTTTGGACTACTATATGTATAGTATTTATGTGTAAATAAATACAGAATATCCCAAAGTACACAATTTGTTCAGGGAAGTTCCCTGAGGATGGATTCTAACACTAGTTTGAAAGCTTGGAAGACTAAACCTCTAGTCCCAGTGACAAAACCCATATCACTGGATTCTGCAATGTTTTATATAAGAAAATTAGTTGTACTGACTGGGGTTATGTTTTCCTTGCTATCTTTAAACTTTGGTCATTTATTAATGACTTGGCATTATTAATTTGGTCATATATTAATCACAGTTCTCTCAAGGCCATATATCAAACGTATTTTCCTTTGTAACCAACACCAGCTGTATGTTTATGGGAGTTTTAAAGCAGGAGTGGGCAAGGACATTTTCCCCCCTAGTGCTGCAAACTGGTGACTAGTAACCACTACAAATAGAGAAAGAATTTTAGTGGTACCAGATATGTGACCAATGATTTCACTGAGTCCGTAATTCATCTTCAAAACAGTAATAGAGGTGAATGGTAAGGAGTTTCTGCTCTCTTCAGAGCTGGGTTCAGCTTCTCATTTCTTCATACATCAGCATAGGAAATGGAAATCAGATACTGTTTTATATACATTAGCATAGTATTAAAAGAAATTTCAATGTATGTTATAAACAAGAATTATAGCTAAGTCAATCTTATATTTATTTCAGACAAAAATATTCAATAAATTACAACCTAGAGAATACTCTTGGGATATGTTTGATCAAATTGTCTGTGAACTGAATCCATCTAAAGCAGAGGTGTCAAACTTGTGGCCTAGACTTGCGGGCTAGATGCATCATGTGCTGGCCCCGCCCCCACCCAGTTTAGCGAAGGGGAAACAAGTCCCGAGTTTGACACTCCTGATCTAAAGTGTCATAAAATCTAATTTAGTACCTTTCTAATGTGATGCCACTGTGACACCACAGGTTTGATACCCCTGATATAAAGTGTCATGGTATAAAATCTAATTTAGTACCTTTCTAATGTGCATTCAAATGTCACCCATCAGTAACATTACAGTTTATCAGAAGGTAATATTCATCAGTGCTCCTTTAGATACAAAACTAATGTAATTATTTACAGGTCCAGGCTACTTGTAAGAGTAGAATGAAATAACTCTTTTAAAAAACAGTCCATGAACTGGAAAAATCCATCAGTCCTTTTAATATTATCTTCTTTAAATAAGCTCATTTGTAGCAACTAAACAAGAATTGAGTACAGTTATTTGTACAATTTCTCCAAATAAATAGTTGAAATCAGATGCAGTATAAGGCATATTCTTGTTTGTCAGGAATTACTTCTAAAGTCATCTTTTGAAAAACTAAATAAGATGGAAAACTGATGTCCTGAATTTTGGGGTATATATGTAACTTAAGCTTCAGATTCCCAACTGACAGAAACCAAAGAAACTGTAATTATAGAATCATATTGCATTTTCTTAATGGTTTATAAATAAATACCCAAGTAAAATGTCCTGCATACTTTATATAGAAAGGTGAGTGATTTGGTAAAATTTTGTAAATTCTTATTCACACAGGGTTTTTTCCGAAGAACAATTCAAAAAAATCTTCATCCAACTTACTCCTGTAAATATGAAGGAAAATGTGTGATAGACAAAGTCACAAGAAACCAGTGCCAGGAATGTCGCTTCAAGAAATGCATCTATGTTGGCATGGCAACAGATTGTAAGCTTTTAAAAAATTTCCTATTTGTTTTCATTAGATATGTTTATTACAATTTGTTTTGATGATCAGTTTTTTATTCCAATTTTTAATTTATATTCTTATGTGCTAATTGAAAATATTGATTGATGTGTTCAATTAAAAAATTTTCAGTGCTTAAATTTTGTGTTAACTCTTGAAAAGATTATGATTTTGTGCAATATTAAGGAGATGAACAATTTCTATCATAGAAGTGGGGAGATTTTTGAGCAAAGTCCCGCAGAGAAGAGAAAAAAAAAATCAAGCTTAAAGATTTGGGAAAATGGGAAGTTAGATACTGTTGCATGAGTCATCCTGCAGTTGTTTGTTTTATTTTTAGCCAGAAGGAAAGAAACACTATTCACTTCTAAGAAAATAGAATATATAACTGCAAAATTAACTCTTTACAAGGTTGTATTCCCAGAGTTTCTCAGCAAATTTGCAGGAGCATCTTAATTGATGTGAATTGGAGTAATTATAATTAAAAATTACAGCCTCAGCATATTAGTCTTAATGGCTTATAAGAATATAAAGTTAAATGTCTTATTAAAATATTAAAATAATCCATTTTTTTCAATAGTCATATATGTGTAAAGAGGTCTATAATTGTTTAAATACAGATAAAAAAATTCCAAGCTACTTAGATCATGAATAAATTACATTACTAATCATGATGTCTATATATTATCTTAATGTCTCAGATAATATACTTCTAAATACTATTTGTTGAGCAATATAAGAATGGAACAGTAGCACTGTGTTTAACAACTGACTGGGTCCCTCTAAATATTAGGTAGAAGTTGTATTTTTCGTACTGCTTTGCTCTGATCCAACAGGATTTTACCTAGGTGCTTATGCTTATGTCTATTCTGATTAGCAATGTCCCATCAGGTATAAAAGTTAGATTTTTCGTATATCTTTCCTTCTTCCTTTTAATTAAAAAGTTGTACGTGAAATAGGTTCTGAGCCATTGAGGAGGAATGATTGGACACAATAATTTTGGACAGCATATTTCCATGCAGCATTTTTTTTCTCTAGATTTTGTCTAGATTGGGATAAAATATTAATGGTAATGATGCTTTATCATTTAGTGATAAGGAGAGTTAAAGTTACTTTTTTAGGGATATATCATGGCCAAAAATCACATTTATGTCATCTCCACTGTGTCATATAATAGCAGTAGCATTTAGACTTATATACTACTCCATAGTGCTTTATAGCACTCTAGAATGGTTTATAATTGCCCCCAACAATCTGGGTCCTCATTTTTACCGATCTCAGAAAGATGGAGGCTGAGTCAATCTTGAACATTGGGATTGAACTCCAGACTGGTCATCCCCTTTCTCAATCTCTACAATGGCTAGCCTGCCAACCAATGGAGGATATTTCTCACACTAGACTCTCTGGAGCAGGGGTCCTCAAACTTAGCAACTTTAAGACTTGTGGACTTCAACTCCCAGAATTCCTCAGCCTGTCTGAGGAATTCCTGGAGTTGAAGTCCACAAGTCTTAAAGTTGCCAAGTTTGGAGACCTCTGCTCTGGAGAATGACATATCACTGAGGCAGGCTAAAGACAGATTAAAATGGAAATGAAGACCTCCACTATGAAAAATATTCTGAAATGAGTCTGAAAGAAATTGGCAACCTGTAGTGCTCCAAATGACCTGCCACAGGACCACCCATCCCAGATAATCAACACTTCTGCATATCTGTGACCATCTCTTTTTCTCTTTTGGCTCCTAGAAAGAACAAAGTGTTGTTTGGCAGCCAATTTTTTTTCTTTTTGTCTGATGTATATATCAGTCCCTTGTGAAAGTTTTACTATATTCTATGGAATTAATATTCCTATCAGTAATCTCCCTATCCTAACTGTTGAGGTAATTCCCCGTTAGGAGAATGAGCGCATACAGGGAGACGTAGTGAGAGTGGTGAAGAATAACACACAATTAGCACACAGATACACTGTATAGTAAAATGTAGGTTTTTACTTCCAGTAAAATGGTTAAGCAAAGTCCAAACAAGCAGTCCAAGTCATTCACAGCCAAAGCAGTCAATTTTCAGTCCAGGGACAATCCAAATAATAAAGTCCAGTATCAAAAACAGTTCAGTAACAGACTTACATCAAATCCAAGAATAACAGTCAATAGAGAAAAATGGAGGAACGGCAACACTCTCCAGAAACAGAATAGAACAGGAACTCACTGAGACTAAACAATCCAGGTTTCTGGCTCCATCTTATGGCCATTTGCGGAACCACACCCAATTACAGTTTTAGTATTCTCTTAAAGACATAGTATTAAAATGTCTATCCTAGTTTATATATTTCCAACCCAAATAACTGTTAGGTGGCTTACATTCCTAACATTCTCCCCTTTGGGTAGGACAATATATACAACCTTACATTCTAAGTCCATAATCCTTGCAGCAAGCCTTATGCTTTATAGAGCTTTGGGCCTTTGTAAAATGATCTGCTATATTGTTTTCTGACATACAGTATTCTAGCTTAATCATCTTACTTTGCACACATTGTCTCACATTTAAATATCTTAAATCTGTGTGTTTCGTTCTTGTTTTAACAGCAATATTTGAAGCCATCTGTATTGCTGATTGGTTATCTTCATAAACAACAATAGGATCTGTTACATCAATTCCCATATCAATCAATAGTTGCTTATAATAAACTAAATCTGTACATAATAAAGACAAACATGAGAATTCAGCCTCCATTGTTGACAAACTTAGATGTTTCTGTCTAATAGATCTCCATCCAATCAACACTTTTCCCAATAATACTGCTGTACTCAATGTAGATTTTCGTGTATCTGTAGCAAAACTTGCATCAGCATATGCAGTTAAACTCAGTTCATCTTTTGGCTCCAAATACAATGCATAGTGCATTGTTTGTTTCAGATATCTTAACACACGTTTAGCAGCTTGCCAGTGCCTTTCAGTTGGCTCAGCGTTAAATCTCGCTAATTGATTAACACAGTATGCGATATCTGGCCTTGACCAATTACTGAGATAAGACAAACTACCAATCAAGGACTGATAAATATTCTTATCAAAAATAGGACTTTGAACATCACTATGGCTAAACTCCTGGCTCATTGGTATTTCAGCTAGCTTACAAAGTTCCATTTTAAAACTTTTTAGTAATTGGTTAATTTTATCTGCTTGAGAGATCTTATATCCTCCCCTAGTTCTATCTATCTTTAAACCAAGATATTGTTTGATTTCTCCTAACTGTTATATCTTAAATTTCTTCTCTAACAGTGAGATTATTTTAGTAGCTTCTTGTTCAGTTTTGGTGATTAATGCTATGTCATCAGTAAACAATAGCAACAATGACATTACACCATTACTTTCCCTTTTAAACAAACATTGATCAGCCATGCCAGCTACAAAACCTATCTTAGTTAATTCTTTAACTATACATTGGTTCCACTCATATCCTGATTGCTTCAAACCATAAAGACTCTTTTTCAATTTCCAGCAATCAGTTGTATTATCATCTTTTATACCTAAAGGTTTCTTTAAATAAATAATGTGTTGCAATGGTGCATGCAGATATGCCGTCTCTACATCCAATCTCTCCTTAGCTGCCCACGCTAATGCTGCCCTTAATGTAGTAGCCTTCAGACTAGGTGCAAACAGCTCATCGTAGTCATTTGCTGTCTGATTGAACCCTTGTGCTACTAACCTGGCTTTATGGGTAACAGTCCCTGTCTTAATTTTATAAATCCATTTACATCCTATGGTATGTTTACCTGGTGGTAACTTAACATTTTCATATACCTCCAACTTTTTTAATGATTTCAGTTCCTTATCCATTGCTTCCTGCCAAGCAGCCTGATCCTTAGCAGTTTCAATTCATTATAATTACTTGGAACTGTATTCACTTGGCGTACAACACTAGCCTGATATCTATCAGGTGGTCGTGTTACTCGAGTTGAACGTCTAGGTATTACAGGACTTATTGGTGGACTTTCTTGTGCTACCTGCTCCTGTTCTTCTACTTCCTCCTGTGCCTGTTCTCCTACTTCCTCCTGTTCTTCCTCTTTAATGGCTATTCGTGGTTTACTTATTTCATCTTTAGGGACTACTTGGGTGTCAATAATAATATCATTGCTGGATTCCTGTTCCAGTTTATCCCACCCAACATGCTCAAGAAATTTTGCACTAACGCTACAATAAACATGAGCCTTGATCCTAAAATCTAAATGATCTATGATTGGCCCCGTAACCCCCCAAAAAATAACTTCTTAGCTGTATGTTGCCCTTTCATTCTTAATTGTGAGGGAATATGCACCCATGCTGGAGCTCCAAATGTGTGTAGGTAACTTAAATTTGGTTTTCGGCTATGACAATGAGTGAATGGCAATTCTTCAGTTGTTGTGTTAACTACATTGTTTAAAACATGGTTACTACACATTATGGCTTCACCCCACAGTGTTTCAGGCAGACCTGAATCAGATAACATAGTACGAGCCATGGCTTGTAATGTTTGCCCTCTTCATTCTACAAACGAGTTATGTTGTAGTCTGTAAGGTGCAGAACGTTTATGTTCAACACCTGCCAATTTCAACATAGTTTGGAATCTTTTGTTAACAAACTCAGTCCCATTATCAGTAACTAAAGTAATTACTTTACTCCTCATTTTTCTCTCAGCAAACCTTAGCCAGTTAAAGAAATGTTGTTTCTGTTTTGTTTTTCATGAGATAGCAGAAACCATACCTTGAGTAATGGTCCATTATACTCAAAATATAGCAGGCACCTCCTAAACTAGGTTTCTTAGGACCAATTATGTCAGCAAAAACAACCTTTAAAGGTTCTTTGGTCTTAAACCCATTTAGTCTGTTTGCAGGAGTAACCTTACTTTTCTCTTGGCTACAAGCATTACAGTTTAAATACTTGCTACAGGGTTTCAATTTTACTCCCTCTGACAATTCAACAGTTTGTTTGAGCATTTTGAAATTAATGTGCCCC